GAATAAATCATGATACAATAAATTCTATAACCACAGACTGAAATAATTTTTGCCATATCCTGTCTTGAATATTCGTTGTTCAGTTTTCAAGGAATTAACATTTTGTTTTAACCATTCATCATTTAAAAATTTGAGTTTTAAGTTTTTTGAACATCCGATTTGAAAACTAATTAAATTTTTAAAACAATTCAATAATTCACATACGATACATTCTCTTTGAGTGCGTCTCATTGATGTATAACTATTGATTATTAGTTTTAAATGTTTAATGTTGAAAAATATATTTGATATTTGTTCGATATCTCTCATTCTTATCTGACCATCACTTCTAGTTATATATATATCAAGTTGATTTATATTTTGGAACCATGGTTCATTGATTCGTTTAATAATATACATAAGTTCTGCATAATAAACACCAAATGTTTTTAAGTTAGGCATTTTTTGTAATAATTTTGAGAGAAAATTTAAATTTGTTTTATTATATGTTGAACGATAGAAGAAGAATCGACGTAGATGTGGTAAACGAATGAGAGACATACTGTTGTCATCTTGCTGTTCCGAAATATTCATTGCAATTATAACTAACTCTTGAAGAAATGGAAATTGATTAATAACACTAAACCATTTTGATATTGCTAATTGTTCATGACTACTTTCGATTGTAAGACGATAAACTCGGATAAATTTTTCTGTTGAAAGACTCCCTTCTTGTTGAAATATTGATGTATTAAACCAATCACCATCAGTCAAAAAATGATAAGGAATTGTATCGAGATAAACTTTTTTCTTACTTGAATAACATTTAAAATTGATATTCATATCATTTAACCAAAAATCAGATGATATTGCAAAAGTATCTAAAACATCTTGACAGTTCACATAAGGATTATTAAATAATTGAATAACAAGTTTAAATTTTCTTACATTTGGCAAGTAATACAATAGATAGCGCCATAATATTCCATTCAAATAATCTAAATCATCAGTTTGTAACTCAATTGATATTGATTCTAATGTTGGTATACTATACAATAATACTTCTAAATTACTATATGATAATAATTTTACGTTCGTTGTTTCAAAATGAAATTCTTTTAAATATTGAGGTAATTTAGTTGAAGAAAATTGTTTTGTCATTTTTTCTTCATCAATGTGTACATATAAACGTTCAACCATGGGTATAATTTCAAATAAAATAAATAAATCATCTAATGTTCGAAGTGATAAACGTACATCTTTGATAAATAAATTTGGATATAATTGTTCAGATAAAATGATCCCGTTTGATGCTGCTGAAATTTCTAATTTTTCAAGATTATTTTTATGACAGAATATATAATAATCTAATAAAGTTATAGTTGATGAATGCCAAGGTCCTTGATCTTGATTCGTATATGTAATTATTAATATTTTTAAATTAATTGATTTTATTAACATATTAATTAAGAGATCGATTCCACTATCATTAAATTCTTTCAATGTTAAACATACAAGATTTGGGAATGAATAATCATATTGTTTAGTATTGAATATAAACATTTGATATGGTGAATATCCATCATTTAAAGTTAGTTTACATATAGAATTATTGATTAATGGCAAGATATTTGTGCACAAATGAGAGAATTTCTCTAAAGATATATCTTGTGATAAATCTAAATTGTATTTATAATCACTTATTGTTAAATTAAATCGAGAATTTAAATTCAAAAATAATGTGAGAACATCATAAGGTGACAAATATCTGTCGATCTCCAACAGAATTTCATTGGGGAGTTGTTCAATGTTTGTGACAGACATTATTCTTGTGCACTACTAATTTTTTCTAGAAAAAAAAGAGAACGTCGTGTACAAAACAATCAAAAAACAAAGATCTTTCAAGTAGAAAGCTTTCTTTCTTGCCATACATTAAAAAGAAAAGGATTTAGTAACTTCCCAAACAACAACTCATACATGAAAATATCTAGATATTTTATCGTTGTATTGGGCTATCCTACTATGAAGTATCTAGGTATAAGTGTCACTTTATTGGATTATCTTGACATATTGGGCATGGTATCTACTGCATCCTGACATTGTCTCAATATATTGGAATGCAAGAAAAGGCTAGTGTGAGCAGCTACGGTCTCCGATATAATGGTCTGTTCTAGTCCAATATATCGACTCATGTATTGACAGAATGAAGCATGCATCCCGGAATGTCTGTATGCAGACATCTTGCTTTCTGTAATATATTGGTCTATTATTGCTCAATATATTGACCTGATATGAATAAAAACTTTGTAAATTTATAGAGGATATGTGTTATATATATAGGTGCTGTGGCTGCAAAACAAAAAGGTGGATAATCCGACCGTTGATATATCCAGTAATATATTGGGCAAGTTAGATAAATTGGTTATGGTATTAGGTTATCTAGGTATAGTGACTACTCTATTAACTCGATACTTTTTATTCACTTGGGCATGCTGATGAATCCTTATAGTTGTTTTATCGAAATTTTGTCTTCACTGCCTCCTTTCGCAAGATGTCGACACAACAAGAAGAAAAAAGGAATCTATTCGTATTATTTAAAAAGCTCTGTTTAGATCGATGCACATTTCGCACTTATAGGAAAATGCTTGTGAGTTTTACAACAAGGTTGCACAGAGCTGTACTATCCCATTATTGCCAGAAAAGTTTGGTCAACAAATGAACACGTTGAAAAAACAGGTAGTTGCAAAAGTATCCAAGAAAAACCTAGTATTTGAAGATACTGTTTCACGAGGCTCTTAACACCCTACATAAAAAATTTGTAGGTTTTTTTCGTAAATAACTGATTTTTGATGGTTTTTTGGGTAGTAGTAACGTTTACCTATGGAAAAAAGTACGTTGTATACGTCTCTGTACGTGCTCATTCAATTCACCATGGTCAATAACCTATGGTGAAGTGCTTCCAGTTTTTTCTTATACTACTTTATTAAGGAAAAAAACACGATAACCAAAGTAAAAACTTGTTTTGCGTTTTTCTCGAAAGTGTTTTTTTATGTTTTATCTGTCAGTATTTCAAAGATTTCTCCACTATTTTGAATGCTAGAAAGCTGGGGAAGGTTTTAAAATGAAGCTAAAGCTCAGCGCTACAGCTTAACAAAGCCGGAATTTTCGCTTTCGATTTAGTTGTTTACAAAAAAATCGAGTTTTCTAAAAAGTTAAACACGATTTTTTTCAAAAACCTTTTTAAAAAAAAATTTTTTTTTTTTCAAAAAACCGGCTTTGTTAAGCTNCATTAAAATTGCGAAAAAAATCTTTGAAATACGAGCACCTCTTTTTTGACCCTTAATATCAGGATAACTCTCGTAAAATTCAATATTATGAACTCAATCTTTTACTGAAGACTATCCAAAGTCAGATACATATTCAGTAAAATTTTTACTAAGATTGAGTGCTCTGGAAAAAAACTAGATTTTTGACCCGGGGGGGGGGGGGGCCCTTAAAAAGCTTGCTAAAAAATAGTGAAACTAGGGTACGATACGAATTTCGAAAGAGAACGCTGTGGGCACTTCGATCATGAGCGTTATCTCAAAGTTATTTACAAAAATTGTCATTTTTAGGAGGAGGTACGTTAACTGGAAATATAGAGGGTAAAAAGTTCAGTTTATTCTGGCATAGCCATGGATACATGAAAAGAAAACATTGCTAGTGCAAAAATTTGTAACAAAATAAAAACTGCGTTTGATTAAGAATCTAGGCAGATAACTTTGTCAACATGCCCATAGAGGAAGGAGAGAAGATACAAGCAAAATGATAAAGGGAAGAACAAAAGAGCAAGACAAGAAAATCAGTACGAATATTGATACACAAAAGACATCATTAGTCTCACATTTGAAGAAAGAGTTTGAGAGCATCTTTAAAAGCAGAGAGAGACGGTTTTGAGACTACATGCTCCATTGATAGAGGATTGCAGTCCTTAGGAGTTCGCCAGAAAAAAGAGAACTGCACTGTCTCATAGGTGGTAAAAGGCACTTCTACCGCTTGAGACTTCGTGCTACGGCGAAGTGACCTCGTGTTTCTAACTGCAGTTATATACTCTTGACGATTAAGGAGAGAGAGATTGTTATATAATTTGTAAAAAGAAAATAGCGCCTACGCACTGTAAGAGCAGGCAGTCGTAGCTGGATAGCGAGAGTACTACTGTCTGTTTCAGGGCCGAAGTTTCTAGTAATAATGCGCGCCGCAAGCTTCTGAAGAGAATCTAGTGGAGCAAGATGTGTGGAAAAGTTCGAGTCGTAAACTGCTGAGCAATAGTCATTTTTGGGTAGAACACAAGTCTTGTAAAGAGTGAGTCAGACGAATGGCTTGTGGTGCGTCTCGGAATACTCGATTTAAGGCTCCTAGCATACGGCAGCAAAGCAGAGCAAGTTCACTAATGTGGGTAGACCACTTAAGATCGTGCGAAAGACGTAAACCTAATAGTTTAGGGACTGCTTAGTTAATCTGAGATTCTAATAGTTAAATCGTTTACGTGAACTGAGCATCTATGTTAGATCGTGTTCCAGTAGCTTAGAGCTTCGGGTCTGTTACTAGAAGGTCTTGATTCGATTCCCACTCATATACATTTCCTTTCGCTGTTTGCGTATACACTATGTTGCGTAAAACTATCTGGAGATAGTTTCATACGCAAACAGCGAAAGGAAATGTATTTAAATGATGAATGGTTAAAACAAAATGTTAATTCCTTGAAAACTGAACAACGAATATTCAAGACAGGATATGGCAAAAATTATTTCAGTCTGTGGTTATAGAATTTATTGTATCATGATTTATTCAAATCTGCAGCATATTCTAAGTGATTTATTATTTTCTTTTTCTGTTTTTTAAGTACTTTTCTTGAACCACAACATATAGAGTAAACCGAGGCAATTGAAAACGATTTTTTGCTCTTTGAACTTCTAATTAGTATAACTTTGTTAATTTTAATTATCTTTTTGCGCCCTTTTTACAGGTAGATGGAGGAGGAAGTTCTCTATAAGCCTATCTAAACATTTTCAAAAACTCCATGTTCCAGGCGAACTTCCCAGTGTTTCGCTGGAAGCTCTAACGAACACAATTACCCAACTTCGGACAATTGGAAACAACAATAGAAATTGATGGGGTAATTGGATACGACATGTATTTTACACGGGAAATAATTTATTAGTAAAAAACAGTTTTAAGCCAATGATACTAATGAATAATTTTTGCACAGGTTAATAGATTAATTATTGCTCTAGAAATGGCGACAATCTCCAACCTCTACTCATTAATTAGTCTGAGCTCTAATTAAAACGGTAAACACTGAGAACTTTTCAGATGTTTCCGGTTACCCTATTTGGGGCAGTTGGAAACGTACGTGAAAGTTAGCGGGATAAATAGAAACGATCATGTAAAATAGCTAGAAGGCTAGAAGTGATTAAGTGGTTTTTCATGTGGTATCGAAAATTAGCACAGCCGCTGGTTTTAACATTGGAATAATTACTTCTGTCTTTGATCTATCTTGTCCTGAAATAGCATTTTCAGAAATTAAGTGGGACATTGGAAAAACACATACTAA